TTATAGAGGTCAACCCTTAGGAGCGAAGCAGGGAAAACAAGGAAGAAATTTCGATCTATGATAAGGTGTGCCATAACAGATTCTTGCAGAGATTCTTGCAGATAACAAAGTAGTTTACGACAATAGAGTGCTTCAACACCATCTCCTCAGAGGCTACTTTCGTAGTCTACGATGTGGCCCGCGACCGGTCGCGCGACTGGTCGCGGGCCAAATCGTGGACTATGAAAGCAGCCAGATTTCGGAAAAAAAACTTCCGAAGATAGGAATAGTCAAAAAAAAGCTGCTTTCTTAGTCCGCCACCGGTACGCGAGCGCGCCGGCCGGGGGACTACTCGGCCGGCGGTATCGACCAAAATTCGGTTGTAAACAAAGGGCAGGCACCGCCCCCGGCCGGCGGACTATGAAAGCAGAAATCAACTCAATTGTTTAACCGCAAATTGACGTGAGGTACCTATAAGGAGGATTGTTGAGTGCAGAGACTGTAGATGCAGTCATCTACAGCATCACTAATAGAAATGAACGATGGAGACTGAACAAAACCGATCAATCATTTTTACATTGTACTGAGTAAAGTCAAGTACGTGGAGCACTGCAAAAGCGGGAGAAGGGCAGTAGGAACGATTTTGTGCAATCGATTAGTCGTACGCGGCTGTCGCGGACCATTCAGTTTGCCGTTATTACAGCTCTAGCGTTTTTCATACAGCTCAATCGATATGCGATCACTGTTTAGGCATTATTTTACTGCTAGCTCCTTTGTTCCTGTATTTCTTACTTGCTGCTGCATTCTGTTATATTCTGTCGCGCGGCGTCCCTCTCGCCTACCGCACCACACCCCTGCAAAGGCTGCTTTTATAGTACGCCGGCAGCCTGGCGGCACTGACGTGAAACGAATTAGTTCGTATGTAATAAATCTACGTCTGTTGCATTTTATCTTACGGTCAGAACAGGTCAGAACTGTGAAATAAAATGCAACAGACGTAGATTTCTTACATACGAACTAATTCGTTTTACGTTAGTGCGCTGACGCGCCGGCCGGCCGGCCGGGGGACTATGAAAGCAGCCAAAGCGAATTCTGAACTCTTCATCCTCAGGGGCTAATCAGCCCCTAAAGGCACTAAGATGGGCGCGCCGTGCACATGCAATTACTTTCCGGATGGAACTCTAGCGCATGGCGCAAACCAAAACTATACATTTTAAAAACTTTTTTAGGGGTATCAGCTTATAGAGCTCGACGAGCTGGGTGAGAGGTATCCTCAGCTCCGGGATCGCTGATCTCTGATATATAGAAATACACTGGAGTTCAAACAAAACACATTAGATGAGAGAAATTGCAACTATTCAGACTCGAATATTAGCATAATCAGTGNTTATCATAACGAACCTCGACTCGGTTTTTTGACTGATTCTTTGGCAGCACCTTTCACAAAGATCACCGACTCTCATTCGATGCGGAATTTGCGATAGCTAACTTCCGGCCGAGTAGGTGAATTATTTTCAAAATACTTGCGGAAGGGGCATATTCTTTGGGTAGGTTTCATTGTTTTTTTGAGTCTAGAAATGTCCGTGATTCCTTTCTTCTGTTAGATGATCGCTCTCAGTAAAGAGACTGAACTCTGGCTTTTGCCATCTGACCGTGGAGTAGCTCTCGGCCATTGCCATGGGCAGTAAGCAGGAATTGACACATGTTCAATATCCAAGGCTGTTTGTTGTGCCAATGTTTACGATTACGAAAGCTATCGGAAGTAATAATTCTCTCAATCCTCAGTCGAGGAACAGTCAAGCAAGCCAGCTCGGGAAGGTCACGGATTGCCGTTCTTGAGGACAATGGGAAGAACATTTGTGCGTCGACCCAGGTTTCCAGACGAGCATCTTCCGATATAATGGTCGAAATATCGACAACGGCGACGTTGCTACCACCTAGAGGTACTATCAATGGACGCCATTATATGGAAGAAGACTTGTGAAAAAAATATCTGGATCTCTTAAAAACAGACGAGCTCTACTTTAATAGGGGCATAANCCTAGGACAATGGGAAGAACATTTGTGCGTCGACCCAGGTTTCCAGACGAGCATTTTCCGATATAATGGTCGAAATATCGACAACGGCGACGTTGCTACCATCTAGAGGTACTATCAATGGACGCTATTATATGGAAGAAGACTTGTGAAAAAATATCTGGATCTCTTAAAAACAGACGAGCTCTACTTTAATAGGGGCATAAAGCACTTTCACTGGACCTTCGGCCACGAAATGATCTAGAGAGACTAATCAAGGATTGTTTTGCTCGGTACATATGGGATATCGTTCGTTGACAACCTTTTAAAATACAAGTTTCGACCCCAAGTACCAAATGACCATTCGCGGGTATGATGTCTATTGATTATTGGTTGGGATGCTTTCCGATTCTAGGCAGGGGGCCCCTACACTGTATTCCCACTACTATGGAACAGTAGATGTACGTAGAAATCCTGGAGAAATGCATGCTACCTTTCGCTCGTTGTGTGCACGGCAGAAAATTTACTTCCCAGCAAGGTAACGACCCTAAGCACAGGTCTAGAAGAGTGCGCGAGTGACTGACTCATCGAAAAATTCGATGCTTCGACTGGCCCACTCAGTCTACTGATCTGAACATCATTGAACCCTTGTGTCAGGAACTTTAACTAAGTGTAGTCGGTAAACAGTTACAACTGCTGCTTACAATTTTGCCGAATTGGAAGAATAATGGAAGAAAATTGACCAGTGCCTGATCGACAAGTTGGTTCATCAATGCCTCGCCGGTGCCAAGCCGTCATCGATGGTATATCGATGGCTTCGCTACGAAGTATTAGACTAGTTGGTATTTAAGTTCTAATCTCAT